CCCCCACATTCTGGGTCCTCATTTCACCCACCTCGGAAGGATGGAAGGCTGAGTCAACCTTGAGCCAGGGGGGATCAGAACAGCCGAACTGCAGATAGCAGTCAGCTGAAGTGGCCTGCAGTACTGCACCCTAACCACTGCGCCACCTCTTGGGGGGAAACCATGCCCAATATCCTAACCTACAGACTCCCGACCCTGCGCTTCCAAGCCCTTTTAATGCCAAGATCTAACTTAATGTATTTGTGATTTATTCGCGCCATTTCTACAGTCGTGCTCCGGAAGGGTGGTGAGGACACCCAGGTAGTGCCAGCGCCCTCTGCAGCCCGAGATCGCCCCAAGCCGACAGCCGCAGCAGCCCGAAGCAGCCCACGCCCAGCCCCAAGCTCACCTTCTGAGCCCCCGAGAAAGCATGATAGAAGCAGGAGACATAAGTCATGATGGCCTTCTCGTCGGGCCTGAGCGTGCCTACAATATCTGCGCAAGAGGAAAGAGAAAAAGAGAAAGCAGAGTCAAGGGCAACGCAGAAAATCCAGGTCCGGCCGGACATGCAGAAGACCAGAGGCAGGAAGGAAGACAGGTTACGCTCCCTGGGAGAACCAGACCTCAGCTAGGACAGAAGATAGCCCTTCCAAACCCATTGTTTAGACCAGGACAAGGGTGGGAAATTAATGTTCCCATGACAAACTGGGACGGTTGAGGAGGGCTGAACCAAGAGGGCTGTAGACGCAGGTAAATTGGGAAGGAAAAACAAAATAGCAGTCCCCCTCAAAATAAAATCAAAATAGGGACTGCCCAAGGGCCAGGTGTGGCCTGGGCCCCCTAAAATACCCAGGTCTGGCCAGAGGACCCCCAGGGAATCTCTCAAAAGGAGCTTAAATTTCATCCTTGACTCCTCAAACAGGGCCTTCAACTTTCGGGCCTACAGGATGACCGCACTTCCTGTTCTAGGAGTTGAAGCCCACATTTGTTCCGTGAAGTCACCTCCTTAGAGAGGACTTGTGACTGTGGTCTTCATCAACTTCTCCTCTTATTGACATCTTTGGTGGGGGAGGAGAGGACGAATTTTGATGGAGTTTTGGAGTTTGGTTGGTTGGAGAGTCCAGGCCTTAAGTGTCGTAAAGCCTCTTCACATTTGCCTCTCCTTCTCCTAAGGTAGCCTCCATCTGTGACAGCCTCGTTTTTCCACTTTCTCTCCAAAGGGATTTATGGTGAGTTTTGGGGAAAAAAATATAGCCTATTTTTCTTTCCTGCACTGGGTGTCCCCAAGGTGACTTTTTTCCCCAAAAAGGCAAATCTGGACTTTCTGGTTTTTCTCTGAAGACCTTTCGCTTCTTAGATAAACTTCTATCTATCTATCTATCTATCTATCTATCTATCTATCTATCTATCTATCTATCTATCTATCTATCTATCTATCAATCATCTATCATCTAT